TAAACCCTAAACCCTACTACTACTACTACTACTACTACTACTACTACTACTTCGACGACGACGACAAAACCCGAAAGCAACGAGGAAGCAGTGGCAGTAGCCGTGGTGGTGGTGGTCGTCGTGGTGGCACTGTTGTTGTTTCTTTTGATGTGCAGCTGTGGCTGTTGCAGTTGCTGCATTGCCTCTTCTGTTGTTGTCGTGTTTTCTGGGAGTTGTTGTTGTCGTTGCCACTGCCGTTGTTGGCATTCGTCGTTGTCCAAGTCGTAGTTGTGCTTGTTTTGTTGCTTCTGTGGCCGCTGTTGTTGGTGATGTTGCTAGCTGGCTCTAGGGTAAAGCCACTAGCGGGATGATTGAACAGCAACGCGCTTGCGCACACTTGTCAGATCTTATCAGCCTAGGTCACCGAAACGGCAAATCCCAAAATTGTGGGGTCACGGAAGGGGGGTGCCGAATCAGGCACACAGACATGCTAATATAGGGGATTTAATAGTTACCCATACTATTTTGGGGTTCTTCAATTATAACAATGGTCTAATATACCCCAAAGTACCATTCTAATTATTCAGGTCCCTATATTACATGTTTAGTTGCGCTGTTTGTTTTTTTCGGGCTGGTCTGTCTATGGTTGAGGATCCGGGTTGGCGGCGTGAATTCCAATAGTCTTAGGCTCCAAGAACTGACCCGAAGAGCCAACTACGGACCCCTCAGACCCTTTTAGTCCGAAGCCTCCAAGCCCTTCCCTGACAAAAACCTGCACCAAAATCCAAAGGCCAAACCCCAACAACCCTGAAGCCTGAAACCCTAAACCCTAAACCCTGAACTTGAAAACATAACATAACACTGTTCTGCTGCGAGGCCCTAGACCCTAAACCCTAAACCCTAGCAGACGGGTCTTGGTCCCAAATAACCCTTAAACCCTAAACCCTTAAACCCTAAACCCTAAACTCCGTTCTTTGGGGACTCCGTAAAAATGCGAGGCCAGACCGAGTCAGTCACGAACTGCAAAGGCGAGGCTGGGATCTTTCAGTGTCAGAGCCCCTCGGTGCGCTTGGCAGGATTTAGGGTTTAGGGTTTATAGGGCCAGGATTTAGGGTTTCGGGTTTAGGGTTTAGGGTTTAGGGCCTGGATTTAGGGTTTCGGGTTTAGGGTTTATAAGGTCTGGGGTTTAGGGTTTAAGGGTTTATACGGTTGGGGGTGTGTTTTGGAGTTTCGGGTTTTGGGCTGTTTCTGATTGAAGGGTGTTGGCTGCTTTTCGGCCTGGTCAAGAATGTGCACGAACGTACAGTTTGGAGCTTTTGGGATTTAGGGGTTCTGCGATTTGGGTCTAGTGGCTAGTGTTTTGGTGTTTGGGGTGTTGTTTCTTTTCGATTTCGGGGTTTAGAGGTGTAGAGTTCCGGAATTCGGGGTTTCGGTTAGTGAGTAGTCTTGCTTTCTTGTGTCGGTTTCAATTTATGCGACAAAGCTCAGCTGAACGCACTGAGCTTTGCCAAACTGGACGGTTTTGCAAGGCTTTTCATGCGCACGAGAAGTTGAGGTAGAGTCAGTAGCTTAGCCGCTGACTTGATGATCTACTAGTCTGCACCAACATTTAATTTGTTTTGCTGTAAAGAGCCTTTGTCAAGGTACGCAAAGTCGTCGTCGGAGCCAAGTTTTCTGCTTTCACAATTCGAGACAATGTGGCGTAGCTGTAAACAGGTGTGAGAGGGTCATGATGATAGCACGGACTAACGGCTTCTCGCCCCTTGCACGCTGCCGCAGCAGACACCCTTGACCGTAATTGAAAGTTGTCCCTCAACATCCAAGGCACATTACAAACATCTGCATTTTGACTTGGGTAGAGCAGTGGGCTACAAGTCCCGTGCCCCGTATAACTACTGTATGCCTCATCCGGAACCGAGGTACAAGAAACTGACCTATATGGTGCAAGAGGCACTTATCTCCGGATGATGTGCGGGGCGCTCTTGCGTTGCGTATGAATCCTTCAGTGGCTACGACTCGTGCTACTAGACTCACCTGTTGCGGAAAACAGGAACACTCCTAAACCCTAAGGCCCTAAGCCCTTTACTTCAGCTTTAGGCCCCAGTTCCAAAATGAAATGGCGCTTAAAAACCTATGGGAACTATCCGTCACCGTGATCACGCAGCCTCAAAGCAGGGCACAACAGCTGGGCATGTAGTGACCTGAGCAAAGGTCTGTTCAGAACCCTTAAGGACGAAATGAACCCTAAAAGGGTTTAAGGTTCATATACCATATAGGGATTCATAGTATAAGGCTATAGGGCCCCTACTTTTTAAGGGTCATTTCGTCCTTATGGACTGTAGTTCTTTTCTACTAATGGACTTGGCGCCCGTCCTGAAGCAGAGGGAAGCAGGAACTCCCACAATCCCGAAACCCTAAAGCCCTTAGAGGCAAGCCATCGGGCCGTTTAGGCTTCTCACCTCAGAAGCCTCTAAATTTCAAAGGTGCCCGAAAGATGGGGGCCACAAGCAAAAGCTACAAATGTGCATGCCACGCCGCGAACGCCAAAACTCCTTAACAAAGGTGATGCATGGGCATGATATTCAAATACTATAAATGGGATTTTGGGAGGCTTCGTATCCTATAATCAAAAATGAGGTTCGAAACCTAGCAGCCTTACATCCCCTGCGGTGTGCCAGGCAGCTCGATCTTTGAAAGAGTTGCTTGAGGCCCGCACTCGAGAGGAGCGTCTCGTCGTTCCAGTTCCCAACTTGACGGGCCGTGAATTCTGTTGTTCTTTGTAGCCTTGTGTCATTTTTTCATAGAATAAGAACACTCCCTATCTTTCCGAGGACCTTATAGTTAGGGCTCTATAGACCTCTTAAAGACCTAATAATCAGGTCCCGGAAGCCTGGGGATTACCATAAACCCTGCACCGTAAGTTTTGGTTCCAAGGGCCAGGCTTTGGGATGCAGCGTTTTGGGTTTATGGGCTTGGAGGCTCCACGCTGTCTTGCGTGCTTCCATGGCACTTCTGGCGGCCTTCAATGTGTCGTTTTGGAGCTGCAACTTGAGTTCCTGTCCATCTTGATCTTGAATTTGACCTCCGTAGAGGAAACGCTCTTTTGTTTGGCTTGTAGCAATGTTGTATCCGTTTTCAGGCTGGGGGTTTTTGGAAGGCCCAAACCAAGGCCACGGCTACGGCTCATGACAGCTCAAGCCTTGATGCTTCAGCGAGTTTGCCAGCCACATTGTATGCGAACTACATTCACTGCCGCCATTTTTGTCCTGCCGATTCTTTATAAAATAGTGGCGCTCCGCAGGTCCTCCGGGGCTCGTGTAGACACCAAGCGCTCACAGGAACAGGGATGAGGGCTCCGCTGGGCGGATGCCGTGGGAGGGCCAGGCAGCGTCGACCCGCGAGCTCGTCCAAAGTTTGGGAAGAGGTGCAAGATCTCGGATGAGTGGTACCAGGAGCAAAGGAGAAGAAACCATGGGGAGCTCAAGAAATTGCGTGAGAAGTGCGCTTTCCCCGGCTCGGCGACATGTTGTGAGGAGGGCCTGACTTGCAGCTACGAGAGCTCAGCTTGTGGGGCTGAGAAGGTGTGCAAGATCAAGACAGGGGGTGATTGCGAAGGGCAGTGGTTCGGGACACCATGCGCGAGATATGGGCGAGATAAGGGTGTCGATTGCCACAAGGTCACGGTTCAGGAAGGGGGCCAGGAAAAGGAGAAGTCTACGTGGAATTCGGCTTTTAGACCCTGAGCCCTGAGCCCTCAGATCCTGCAAGCCCTGGGCCCTAAGCGCATAATCTTAACAAGATTATTCCGAAGGGTTCCTTGTGTCAGGGTTTAGGGTTTAGGGTATGACCATACAGCAATATACTCCAAAATCCCGTCTGCTTGTTCAGCCTCCCGAGTTTAATTTGAAGATCCTCGATCGCAGGGATCGCGCGCCTCTCCGGAGCGTTCTCCGGAGCCACAAGAGCAGCCCCAGAAGGCCTCTTGCTTGAGCATAAGGAGAATCTGGATGTTAGTTTGCGGGCCACAAATTTCAGAGGCTTATGCCACCCTCAACCTTAAACCGAGAACGTCCGGTTTCGGGTTTATGGTTACTGGAGTTTCTGGTATGAGCTCCTGGCTCGGCATTGCAATTCACTGTAGCTTCCGCTGTTTTGTTTGATGATGCGACGTAGGGTCGAGGGTTTAGGGAGGCTTCCCTGATGGGCTTAGGGTTTAGGGTTTTATTTAGGGCTTAGGGTTTGGGGGTGTGCTGATGCACAGGCGTTCTTCGTTTTCCTTCCACCTGAACTCCAGTAAGACTAGGCCCTTGGAGCCTCCGAGCTCGAAGCCATATGGGGGGTTTCCGAAAATTTGGGGTAGCTTATTTTGGGGGTCCTTATAATAAGGATCCTACTGTTTAGGGTACTATATTAGGGTCGGTCCCCTATTTTCGGAAGCTCCCAATACCTCTGAGATTTAACCTACCTATGGGTCCAAGCACTGAAACGGGAGACGCTAGCACCGCCGTTAAACCCTAAACCCTAATCCCGATTTAGCCTATAAACCCAAAATCGCCAAAACCCTAACCCTAAAACCCAAAGCCCTAGCTCCTAAACCCTAAGCCCCGAATGTGTGGAATAGGAGGTCATTTGGGCCCAGGACATTAAAGGTTTCGGGCTTGGGGCCTCTGGGTTTAGGGGGCTGGGGTTTCATGGCTTTAGGGTTTGGGGTGTTAGCGCTTTAGGGTTTGAGGGTTTTGGGTTTGGGGTTTAGGGTTCTGGGTTTTAGGGTTTTAGGGTTTGGGGTTTAGGGTTTTAGGGTTTGGGGTCTAGGGTTTTAGGGTTTGGGGTTTAGGGTTTTGGGTTGTGGGATGTAGGGTTCGGGGTTAGGGTTTAGGGCTAGGGTTTTGCAGCTAAGGGCGTAGGGTCTAGGCGCTGGTACACTGTGGGAGTGTTTGGTCTCTGGCGCCCATGTCCCGCGACGCCCCAGGCAGGGGACTTAAAACGCTAAGCTCGGAAACCTAAACCCTAAACCCTAAACCCTAAATTAAAGCCCAGCCGGACGGGAGCCCCTTACGATATGAACCCGAGACTACGGTTCAGGGGTCTTTTTGGTTCCCTAAACCCCAATCATAAGGTCTAAACCCGAAAAGCCCCAAAACAGAGTCTAATTCGAAACCCTACCTTAACCCCAAAGATCCTACCGTTTTAAGGACTTATATAAGTATATATCGGAACCATAATCAGGAACCCCCCAAAAAAGGTAGGCTCTTTTCGGTCCAGGTACACCTTGAAAGCCCCAAAGGAAGCCTAAACCCTAAACCCCAAACCCCAAACCCTAAACCCCAAACCCTAAACCCTAAACCCTAAAACCCTAAACCCTAAACCCTAAAACCCCCAACCCCAAACCCTAAACCCTAAAACCCTAAACCCTAAACCAGTGTGCACGAGGTCGAGCCGAAGACAGAACCGACTGCCGCGGCTTCTGCTTCACAGCAGCCATCGGGTCACTGGCTCGGGAAAGTTTGGGGTTTATAGGGGTTATAAGGTTTTTGGGGTTTCTAGGGTTAAAAGGGTTTATAGGGTTTCTAGGCTGTATTGTTTAGGGTTTAGGGTGTACGGCAGATGGCTTTTTGTCATAAGGGTTGAAAAAAGGGGTTTTAAGGTTGTCCCAACGCTTTCTATGGGGCCTTACCATGGCTGTGCCCTTAACTCTAAACTCCCTACGCCCTAAACCCCGAATCCGTAATTAATCCTAAACCCTAAACCCTAAATCCTAAACCCTTAATCTAAACCGAGTGTTCATGGGGATTGTGTTTGGTGGTTTCCAGGATCCGGCCCTTCAAAGGCTGCCCTGTTTTTGGGGTTTAGGGTTTTTAGGGCTTATATAGGGTTTATAGGGTTTTCGGGGCTTTGGGGTTTTACGGTTTTAGGGTTTGGGGGTTTGCTAAACCCTAAACCCTTTCTTAGAGTCGCGGCTTTGAAGTTCAGGGCCTGGGCCTTTGTTGACGCTTTCGATGTTTGCGTTTATGGTTTAGGATTTAGGGTTTAGGGTTCAGGGTTTAGGGTTTAGGGTTATGGCTGATGATATAAATCCTGCATTACCCATCATGGTTTAGGGTATGAGGTAATGCAGTATTATATCATCAACAGTATACCCTAAACCCAAAACCCCTAAACCCCTAAACCAGAAACCCTAAACCCTAACCCATAAGGATTTATCTCATCAACCGTAGGGGGTTGAGGCCGCTAGGCGTACGCTTTTCAAGAAGGTGGCTTTCAACGGGCCCGCTGCTGATCAGCCCGGTGAACTTTCTCTTCTTTCAAGACGAAATGACCCTTAAAATTACAAGTAGGGGCCCTTTTCCCTCACTATGACTCGTTATATGGTTTCTGAACCTTTAGCCCGTTTAGGGTTCCTTTCGTCCTTAAGGTTTGCATGGAATTGTGAGCGAGGCACGAAGCTGGGGTTTAGGGTTTAGGGAACCCTAAACCCAACACGAAGATGCCGGAGCAGTGGCGGATTGGAATGGGGCTGCACCTGTCGCTACTTGGGGGCGAGGCACACAGGTTACAAACGTCTCTACATGATTGTACATGTATCCTGCAGCCCATGCTCTTTACCTTGGTCCCTGCGCCCCTAAAGCGCTTGTCAAACCCAAGCCGCTTAAAGTCCAACACCCCACAGTTCATGCTCAGGAACGAACCAATGGATATGGGAATCTAAACCTCAAGCAGGATCTTTATCATAAGCACCCCCCTATGTTTTGGACCCAAGTTTTCAAGAACCTCGAAACCTTAAACCTCAAAACCCAAAGCCCTCAACCCTAAACCCTAAGTAGACCCTAAACCTCAAAGCCCAAAGCCCTAAACCGTTGGTCCTAAGTCGCAGGCAGCAGCAGCACGCCTTCTGCCCCTGCCGCATCGCAGCCCGCGAAGCAGTGCGAGTGCACCTGCTAGCATCAGAGGGCTCATCCTCGGTGAGGACTTGGGGTCTCCATCATAGGGTTTAGGATCATTCTTCTTCCTGAGGGTCTAGGCTTATAACCTTAGGGCTTAGTGTTATAACTACCAGTCTTATTTTGGTTTAAAGGTTTAGGGTTATAGCTGCCAGTCATATTCCTCAGGGTTGCTTGTTACAATTATACCGTAGAGGAGCCCAAAACCCCTTTAAAACTACTAAGGCCCGCCTACATTATGTCACTACGCTTCGGTAGCTTGGGATAGTGGAATCTATAGCTGGGTTCTTGTTAAGGGGTTTTGTCTAAGTTGCCATAATGGGGATCTATAGTAAATAATCTGGTTTCCTCATTCTGGTAACTTAAACTAAATTCCCGAACAAGAACCCAGTTGGGATAGGGGAGTCTATAAGGATATACCCTAAACCCTAAACCCTAAACCCTAAACCCTAACCCTAAACCCTAAACCCGATAGGGGAGTCTATAATCAGTATGTGGTTCTTCAGGCCTCGCGCCCGGGAGTTTCGGGGGTTTCCTGCAGCCTCGAAACACTTGGGGGGTTGAGGGTTTAACTACCAATCTTATTCCTTAGGGCTTAGGGTTATAACTTGGGGGTTTAACTACCAATCTTATTCCTTAGGGCTTAGGGTTATAACTTGGGGGTTTTGGATTTAGGGTTTAGGGCACGTGGGCTGGTCCTTGGTTCTGTATAAAGTCGCAGCAGGTGTTCGCTGGGTTGACGGAAAACCCTCCGTTTGTAAGCAGCCGTACGAACACACGCAAAACATGTAAAAGCTCCGTTTAAGATGACTTAGGCTTCAGTTTCTCCAAACTGCGAAACTACTGCCAAGACAGACAGGCCCCTATAATCCGAAAACAGCTGAAGCCAAACAAAATCGAAAAAAGCAAATCCTATGGGAGATGATCTCTACGGTGAAGGCACGTTGCAGAAGGGCGACTTGCAGCGCGCGAGTTGGGCGCCCTGGTGGAGGATGAGCTCACGAATTCGCGTCGCACCAGTTTGACATCGGCGGTGGAGGGAGCTCTGCATGGTTTCGGAAAAGCTGCCCAAAGAGCAGGCGGCCCGAATTCTTCTCGCAGTTCGGCATACACCTACCTTGAGGTCTGCCGTGCTTAGCATTCTCCGTTGGTCGCTGTCCTCGGAGGACATCGAGACCGCCATGCTGTGTGAGGTCCGAGAAGTCTTTGATTCAAAGACGGTTCCAAGAGCGCTGACACCAGCACAAGGTAGCCGAAGACGGCCGCAAGACGCAGACTTGCATAAGATATAAGCGAATAAAGCCCTTAAAGGACCCCTAGGCGTTACCCTAAACTCTAAGCCCAGAACTCTTATTATGGACCCCTTCACGGAATTCAATCAGAAATTCAATCCCGTCCCCGGGAAAAAGCAAAACTTGCCAAGCTAAGATTCGAAAACCCGCTGACCCCGCTTCTAAGGTATGGGATGTTTAGGGTTTATAAGCTTTAGGGCTTATAAGGTTTAGGGTTTATAGGGTTCAGGGTTTATATAAGGTTTTAGGGTTTATAAATAAGCTTTATAGGGTTTATAAGGTTTCTAGGGTTTATAAGGTTTTAGGGTTTATAAGCTCTATAGTGTTTATATAGGGTTTCAGGTCAAGGGCTGTGGATCTTGGCGGCTCAGGTGTTTTAGGACTTTAGCCAGTGAGGTTTCCCTAACCTTGAACTTTAAAACCCCAGAATCCGAAACCCTGGATTTAGGGTCTGGGGTTTAGGGTTTAGAGTTTGGGGCCTAGGGTGTGGGGTCTAGGGTTTAGGGTGGTTATCAAAGGCTCAGCTTCAGTTGCTGAACCCAGAGAACTTAAGACCCCTTAATTAAGGAATATACCTTAAATCATAATGTTATAAGGCCCCTATAATTTAAGGTATATTCCTTAATTAAGGGGTATTGGGTTCTCTGGGAACGCGAAATCAGGCCACCGCCATGGCTACCAGAGTGTCTCGATGCCTCGGATGTTCGCAAGACGTCGAAGGCGAGCTGCTGGAGTTTAGGCTTTAGAGCTTAGGGTTTGGGGTGTAGGGTTTAGGGTTTTAGGTTTAGGGTTTGGGGTTTAACTGTCAGGACTTCGGATGATTTATTCTGATGGCCTTGGCGTTCGAATTCGGTTTGGCGTCATGGATAGTCGTCTGTGTCTTCCTGCTCGGTATGTCTGTATGTGTGGTATGCAACAGTATATATATACACACACTCATACATGCATGTGTGTATATGTGTATATATATATATATGGAACCATATATGGGTACTTCTCTGCATTAGGGTCCCTGTTTAGGTCCCGAAAAAGTAGGGCGCCCGTATACTTTTAGGGAACACCCATATCCCAAAGCCCTACGTCCTAGACCCCAAACCCGAAAACCCCTACAGTAAACCCTAAGACCCGAAACACCCCTTGCAGCACAATCCTGAATCTACGCCTCCTAAGCCTTGCCTCAGAAATACTGGACGGTTAAGGGTTAAGACGTTAGGGTTAGGGCTTGGGATTTGGGGTTTGGGGTTAGGGTTTACGGTTTAGGGATTGGAAACCGCTTCCGAACATGCAACACCCTAAAGCTGCAAAACCTCTAAAACCCAAACCTTAACTAGAGCCTTGGCTCCCAAAGCATCTAAATCATGGGTTACTGGGTGTGTATAATATATAGTCATCAACTTATTATTTCAGAAACTGGAGCCCTAATTTAAACCAAAACCTGGGCTCCAAAAGACCTTAATCAATCCCTAAACCCCCAAACCCTATGGACCCTAAACCCAGAAAGCCCAAAGCCCTAAACCCTAAACCCTATGAACTCCCAAACCCTATAAACCCTAAAACCTAAACCCTAAACCGCCCAAACCCTAGTAAAACCCTAAACCCCAAACCCTAGAAACCCTAACACCTGAACCCTAAACCCCATAAGCCCTAGACCCTAAACCCCCCAACCCTATAAACCCTCAACCCTAAACCCACAAACCCTAATGAAACCCTAGACCCTAAACCGCTCCCTAGAAGCCCTAAACCCTAAACCCCCAAACCCTAAAAACCCTAAACCCCAAACCCCAGAAACCCTAAACCCGTAAAAGAAGCCCAGGGATTCATCCTTCGTGGCCCAGCTCTGTACGCCTGACAGCGCCGGCGTAGAGACAAAGGCCTTTAATTCGTAGGGGTTTAGGGGTTTATGGTTTAGGGGTTTAGGGGTTTAGGGGTTTAGGGTTTAGGGGTTTAGGGTTTAGGGTTTAGGCTGTAGTGGCTTTAATTTCGGATAGTATAGGGGTTTAGGGTTTAGGTGCTTTAACATTGGACTTCAACTGTTTTTTTTATTTGGGTTTCAAGGGTGTTCTAGGGGGTGACTGGGATGTACAGAGTGGGATAGGAACGGAGGCAAGTTGAAGGTGGGGTGACGGTCGAATCAGCCCCGAAACCCCAAACCCGAAACCCTAAATCCTCATAAACCCCAAACCCGAAACCCCAAACCCTAAACCCTAAACTCTAACCGGAAGGCTCTGAACCCTATGGTCCCCCCCAGTTATATATTATAGGATTTATAGGATTTATAGGGTTCAGGGTTTAGGGTTTAGGGTATAGGGTTCAGGGTGTACCTTCATCTTACATGTTGAGCTTTTCGTTATTAGCCTCAAGATGTGTAGTTAGTTTCAGGTTCTGAAATCCGCAGCCCGCCGGTTCGGGCTGTTTATATAATATAGTGTTTTATCAAGGCTACTCCACAGATTCTACAAACGAGTTTGGGTGCAGGATTTACCCCTAAACCCTAAAATCCTAAACCCTAAGCCCGAATTAAGGCTGAGGGTTTAAGGGTGAGGGTTCAGCTTTCAATGTCCCAAACCCTAAGGGTCCTTGTACCCAAATAGTGTATACTTCGGCCTTACAGTAGTCCCTATATAGCTACTTTGGGCCCAAAGCATATACTACGGTTGATAAATCCTGCATTACCCATAATAAGGAATATGCCATATTTCCCATAGTTTAGGGTCCTTAAGGTCATGCAGGATGTCGATCATCAACAATATTTGGGTACATGGCCCCTTAGGGAAAGTCGGCTCCCGAGCTTTCAAACTTGCGCTGGCTTTACCCGAGCTCGAGGCATATTGAAAAACTGCGTCGTGCCCAGAGTTGGGGTCTCAGGCTTTAGAGGATCTAGGGTTTTCCCAGGGTTTAGGGTTGAGGGTTTAGAGTTTATAGGGTTTAGGGTTGAGGCTTTAGAGTTTATGGGGTTGAGGGCTTAGAGCTTATAGGGTTTAGGAAGGAGTGTTTAGGGTTGAAGGTTTAGGGTTTACAGGGTTTAGGGCTGAGGCTTTAGAGTTTATAGGGTTTCGAGTTTATAAGGTTTTGGGATGAGGCTTTAGAATTTATAGGGTTTAGGTTTGAGGGTTTAGAGTTTTGAGGGTTTAGAGTTTATAGGTTTTAGGGTTGAGGGTTTCGAGTTTATAGGGTTTAGGGTTCAGAGTTGTCAGTTTGCATATGATCTTTCCGGAGCCTTCTCGATCGAAGGACACTTGCCGGGTGAAGGCTGGAGGCTCCACAAACGGCTAGCAACAGGCGATGGTGAGATTCGGGGCCTCGGGCACTTGACCATTGGGCATGGAAGTCGAAATTTACATGCGGGAGTTGAATACAATCTCAGGATCTTGATGTGGCTTCGACAAAGCAGCGCATGTGACATCAAACAGTAGCCGTCGGAAAAAACCCGGACAGAAGCCCATCTAGCCGAAACAAGTGTTCATACTCGACCCTACCTTTAACCCAAATAACCTACCTTTGTAATGACTTATGCAAAGAAATTATAATAAGGAGCCGTAAAAAAGGTTGGTTCTTTGGGGTTAAGGTGAACCTTGAACCCCTAAGCCCCGTATCAGTGCTTTTCTGCGTCCAACTGCAGCCTCCAAGCTTCATGAGAACCCACTTGACGCAACCCGAAACTCGTTCAATAGGGTTTACCTTAAACCCAAAATAACCTACCTTTTCAACGACTTTATATAAAGACTTCCATATTAAGGAACCCTGGCCCTAAAAAGGCAGGTCCTTTAGGGTCCAGGTGGGGTTCAGGGTTATAGGGGCCTCAAAGTTCGAATTCTGGGTTGAGGGTTTAGGGTTTAGGGTTTGTTTTTGAGCCTTGGGCCTTTGCATTGGGCTTCAGACCTGGATGCAGACCTGGGGCCCTACCCATAGGCCCCTAAGTAGTTTCTTTTTGGGATTACCTTGTAGAGTCTAAATATACACTTTTAAAAAGGAACTGCTTAGAGGCCTATGGGTACATAGTAGGATCCTTGTCATAAAGACCTTTAAGCATGGGACCCAAGCTTTCACTCGTGAGTTTATCATTTAGTTTGGGTTTAGGTGTATTTTGGGTTCAAGGCTTCAGGGTTTCAGGTAAGTGCCCCAATGTTGGAATCCAGCATTTTGTTTCTGGCTGCAAGATGTTCTTGATTCTTGGTTTGCTGCAGACACCTCTTGAAAACCCTATCCTGCCTGTTCAGGCCCCGAAATTGGCCCTTGAAATCTCGAAATCCTAGAGCCTAACTCCTGCCCAGAAGCACTGTAAGCATCCTTTTAAAACCTTGTTCTGTTTGTTCAGGCCCCCAAACCCTAATCCTGAACCCAAAATTCTGCTTACGTATCCGGTCCCATAACATGATCCACTCAACATCTGGCTTCGCCATGCAGCTCAGACTGAACCAAAAAAACAGTACCCGCAAGCTAGACAGTGTAGTCATCACCGACGCACAACGTTAACCATGTCAAATGGTAGCAACGGCAACAAAACACCATGACAGTGGTACTGGTGGTGATAGAAGTAGGAATCGTGATGTAGGCGGCAGCAACAGCAGCAACTACCAACAACAGAACCACAAGCAACAGCATCCCGCCTAGTTAGCCAGGATCAGAATTTCAGTCTTGTCTGTTTGCATGCAGCCCGTTTCAGACGGCTTACGGCCACATTCCGTATGAGTTCAGGTAAAACGAACTATATGTACATATAAACACATAAACCGTTTGCCAGATCTCAATCCCCAAAGCACTAGAAACCTGAGGCCTTTTAGTGTTTAGGGTTTAGGGGTTTAGGGTTTAGGGTTTGACGCCCGTTCTCCTGGAATCATCGACAGCAGCACGGCCGACACGCTTGGCTTTGGCCGAGGCAAGGCCGGAAAACTCCGTTTCTGCACCAGTTGACACCCTAGCCTTCAAGCCCTACCTGTAGTCTCTTTAGGGTTTAGGGTTTAGGGTTTAACCAGTTCTATAATAAGGATCCGAAAAGGTAACCCCCAAAAGGAACTACAATGGAGACTATAGGTAAAGCCTGAATCCTAAAATTCCCTACGGTAGAATTGCGGCTAAGGCTTTGTAAAATTATAGGATAACTTATGGATTATCGACCCTAGACCCTGGCTGTTATAAGCTACAGTGGATGTCGGAAGTGCTGAGGCTTTGTAGGAGGGCAAGGTCATCTGATGGCCCCTGTTCGGGTTCATGGGTGTAGGGTTTGGGGTTTAGAGTTCGTTTGGGGCTTGTCAGTCATGTTGCCCCCAGCCCCGGAAGGAGTAGCGCTTTATCAGTCTATGCAGACGCATCCGGATTTTCTGCGCGTGGAAACCCTCCTAACCCCCAAGCGCCACAAGTCGCTTGGGCCTTAAAGGGTTTAGGGTTTAGGGTTAACTATACTTTCCACAAGCCCTGAATTGGTGATCAGAGGCCTACTTCCCGAACAGTCTAAACACTCGGAGGCTGTAGGGTCATAGGCTCCAGAAGGCAGAACCCTAAGCCTTAAACTAAAGCCCTCGAAGGTTACGGCTGCTAGCTGTTAGGGCTTTAAGAGGGATGGCTCAAAGCGTAGGGGCTTTGGAGGCGTTGAATTCTTCAGGTCGAGGGTTGAAGATGGGCTAAAGTTTTGCTGCTCAAAGACGCCAGGTTGACAGGTGAAGGAATTTCCTTCTACCCATAGGCCCCTAAGTAGTTCCTTTTGGGGATTACCTTAAAGGAGTCTAAATACAATCCATAAAAAAGGAACTACTTAGGGGCCTATGGGTAGAGTCAAGGGTGAAGTTGAGCTTCCCAGTCGCCCAAAAGCAATACCCTAAAGCCAAAAAAGAACGCGCCCAAAGAATAGGAGGAGGTCGGAGGAGCTTGAAATTAAGGTCATTACGCGGTAGGGGCCTACATACCAATACTATTCGGGATTCCCTTTTTTATAATTTTCGTATAATATGCTCCAAAAGCTTTTTCTGATCATTGTAAGGCCCCTAATGTAGGAGCCTGGTTAAGAAACCTTGGCCATATAACCCCAAATATACTAGCTTTTCATATTAAGAGCCCTAATAAAGACCCAGGGTTTCTTAATCAAGTCCCTATACCCTAAACCCTAAACCCTGAACCCTACCTGTGGCCGGAACGACTTACCTTTTTCAGGAACTATATATTATAGAAACCATATTAAGGAACCCTAAAAAAAGGTAGGTCTTTTCGGCTACAGCTAAACCCTAAACCCTAAACCCTCTTCTGATCATTATAAGGCCCCTACACCTTACCCCGAATCCTGAGGCCCCCCAGACACTGACTATAGGCCCTTGAATATGCAGAAGGAGCTACCCTAAACCCTAAACCCTTACGGTTCCTAGACGATGCTGGCATGGCGAACCCCGCAACCAAGAGCCTACTCCTATTTTTGGAGGGCGTTTGGGAGTTTCGGGCAGTAGTGCTCAGGCTTTGGGGCTTATATAGGATTTGCAGAGTTGGGGGTGTGTGGCTGCGGGGATCTAGGTTTTCAGGATTTTTGGGGTTTTGATGCCGTAGGTTCGCTCGAAGTGCGAAGAGGCCGGAGCTATGACTCAATCCCGACGTTCGGGTCTGCACATCAAGCTCAAGGCAGCAGGGAGACAGGACTCTTGAGGGCTGAAGGCGTGTATAAGGAAAAGAAATCCTCCGGGAGCAGGTCTTATGGGCCTTCGTGTTTAGGGGTTTAGTATGGTCTCTGCTCCAGTCCTTACGGAATCCGCTCTGGGGAGCTTTTGAAATGCTCTTGACCTGAAGTAAGTAGCGATTTGGATTTTTGAGTGCTCAGGGCTTTGGGCTTTGAAGGTGGCAGTATTCCCACAAGCCTGCAGTTTCAGGATT